CTCTCTCCCCTCCTTGCAACCTGCTGATCTCAAATGCAATGGAAGATGGCGCCCCGCTAGCAGTGTCAAAACAAGGTCCAACTTCCAGTGTGGTCTACAACTCACACCCCCCATGCCCATGGACCATGCTTGCTGGAGCTGATGTAAGCTTGAATTCAACAGCACCAGTTCTCCATAAAAGGAAATGATTGTGCGAAGAGGATCAGGTAAGGTTGAATCCCATATTGTAAATGCAGGTTCCTGCATAGGAGACCGTCAGGCCTATGCAATGTGGAATATAGGTAAAGGGTAAAGGGACCCCTGACCATTAGGTCCAGTCGTGGCCAACTCTGGGGTTGCAGCGCTCATCTCGCTTTATTGGCCGAGGGAGCCAGCGTGCAGTTTCCAGGTCATGTGGCCAGCATGACTAAGCCGCTTCTGGAGAACCAGAGCAGCGCACAAAAACGCCGTTTACCTTCCCGCCAGAGCGGTACCTATTTATCTACTTGCACTTCAACGTGCTTTCGAACTGCTAGGTTGGCAGGAGCAGGGACCCAGCAATGGGAGCTCACCCCGTCATGGGGATTCGAACCGCCGACCTTCTGATCGGCAAGCCCTCAGCTCTGTGGTTTAACCCACAGTGCCACCCGCATGATGCGGAATATACTGTGTCCCTTATCAGTGAAGAGCGTCTTGTGGGATTGCTGAACAATCAGGTGTATCCTCCAACATTTCTCCAATGAAAATAGGGACATCCTATTCCATAATAATAACAACAACAATAATTTTATTATTTATACCCTGCCCATCTGACTGGGTTGCCCCAGCCACTCTGAGCGGCTTCCAACATATATAAAAACATAATCAAACATTAAACATGCAAAAACTTCCCTATACAGGGCCACCTTCAGATATCTTCTAATGGCTGTATAGTTACTTATCTTATTGGCTTGGGGGTCACATTAACTCCATACCCTCCAATAGTTCTCTGATGAAAATAGGGACGTCCTAAGGAAAAGCGTGACATTTCGGGATCAAATCAGAAACCAGGACAGCTTCTGTAAATCCAGGACTGTCCCTGGAAAATAGGGTCTGGGACTATGAGAGGAGGGTCATGTGACTGAATGCTTCTCCATACAAATTAAAAAATAAATTCTTGCATGGAAGAGCACTCAGCCATCATGATCACCTGCAGGTTGAAGTGGTATAGTCCAAACACAGGTATACCACCTGAAACTAGGCCTACATTTCACCTATTCACCTCTGTATTTACCTATGCAGGCATGTCCAGCAGGTAGATCACTGGACATCTGTGGTAGATCACTGGTAGATCATTGGCTCCCCGCAAAGAAGCTGAACAACTGTGGCTCCCCTAAAAAAAGCTCAACATTTTACATCCTCCCTGAAAAACCTCAACAACTTTGACCCAAATCCCCAAAAAGGGGATAGATCATTGCCAGTTTTTAACAATGTATTTTTCGCTCTATAGGACGCACCCGACCATAGGACGTACGTTGTTTTAGAGGGGGAGAACAAGGAGGGGAAATCTCTCCCTCTCTGCGCAGCGCCCCTTCAGCGAAGCGGGAGGAGAAATGGAAGGGGCTCCATTTCTCCTGCCGCTTCGCTGAAGGGGCGCTGCGCAGAGAGGGAAAGCTGCGCAGCGCCTCTCCAGCGAAGCGAAGCCAGGAGAGCAAGAGGGATCGGTGCGCACCAACCCCTCTCGCTCTCCAGGCTTCAGCAAAAGCAACGCAAAGCCTCCGGAGCGTGGCGGGAGCGCTTCCACTGCGCTTCGGAGGCTTCGCGTTGCTATCGCTGAAGCCATGGAGCCTGCATTCGCTCCATAAGACGCACACACATTTCCCTTTAATTTTTGGAGGGGGGAAAGTGCATCTTATAGAGCGAAAAATATGGTAAGTAGGTGACAGTCTCTTGGGAGTTGGCCACCCATAGGCCATTGGAAGCTCATCTCACAATCTTGGCTCCAACTAACTCCACCAGAGGGAAACTGCAGGCTGTGTCTACTTCAACATGGAGATCAATGACAATTACTTCAGGGTCAAACAAATTATTTGAGGGGGTCAGTGCTACACAAAGGTGTTGATGCGCCTAGCCAGTTTACCTTTAGGAACATCTCTGCATCAATGGTGCAGAAGACTTTTCCACCAGGAAGAACCTATGGGAACCATTGCCTGCTAATGATGCTCTCCAAGCCGTTTTCCAGCGAATGGGTATGTAAATTTCACTGTGCAGCTGAGTAGGAAATCTCAGCGCCAGCATCTCCTCCTGCAATTAAAAGAATAAATAAACCACAAGCCACCTGGTGGCAATGCTGTAGAAGTCTGGAGATGTGTCCGACCTCACTGGAATACCCACTGAGGGAACAGGCAAGTGGGAGGCACGCAGGAACATTCCACTTAAGGTCAATGACTTCACACAAGTAGGTCCATCGCTTGATGCCTCGTCACTTCCCCACCACCACCAAAATTTGATAATACCCCTTTCTTAAACAAAAACTGTAATATTTTTATCATTAATATTTATAAAGCAGCATCAACAACCAATCACAACAGAGAAAGGCTCTCACATGCATTGACTTCCACATTACAGAGCTTTGTGGGACCACTTTTAATGAATAAGAAAGGCCTTTGGTTTAAGGAGTTGTCCCAGACGAGACAGCCCTGTTACGCTGGTCCAAATGGTATATGGTTTTTACTGGCTTATGTCTCAAACAATTGGTAATATTACCACCTACTCAACCCCATGATTGTTTCAACACACCCAGATAGGCAGGGCATTTATTATTATTATTATTATTATTATTATTATTATTAATGTGAACCTCCCCAAAGTCAATTCAGAGTGGGGGTAATGCCTCTTGCCCTCTCTCTGAATGAGCGGGACACTTTTAGACCCGTCTGCAGAATGATGAAAAGTGAAAAGGGATAAAAGGCAAACGTCGACACCAACTTCCCTTGTTCCTGCTGAGCTGTGGTTGTTACAGAAGGATAGCTGTGTGGTTAAGTCTGTCACAGCAGGAACAACTAAGAGTCCCATGGCACCTTAAAGACCAGCAATAACTAACCATAAAGGTGTCAGTCTTTAACGTGCCACAGGACTCCTTGTTGTTAGGATTATTAATTCAGTGTAGCTCTGAGTGGCTTACAACAGCCCTAATAAAATAAAAAAATCAACAGTGAAAATATAAAAGTTAAATAAAAACATACAGTGCGAATCAATAAAACTCTAAACCAGTAAAGTCAACAAAACCATCTGTAACGATTACCGTTTACAACTACACACCCTCTGAAAGCCTGCATAAAAAAAAGAATGTTTTACAACGCTTCTGAATATTGGGCTCAAATGGCCTTCTTTCAGCAGGGAAGCATATAGTGTTGCTTGAGAGTAGCCAGCCACATGTTCAAAGCAGACATCTTCCACCAGTGAGTTGCTCCACAGCTACTATTTCCTTCCTTCCTTCCTTCCTTTTGTAAGAGACGGAGAAAGAGAGTAAGGGAATGAAAAAGGAGCATGAAAGCCTGAGAGGGAGAGAGAAAGAAAACGAGAAGGATGGATGGACAGATGTGGTAGAAACTGAGTCCTGGACCCTGAAAGGCATAGCGCTCTGTGTGTCTGAAAAGGTTGGGATCTGTTACTTGAAAGCATCTTCCATCTACTGAGAGTCACATTGGAAAGAACCATGTTTTGCCCTTCTTCCCACCTGTCTTTTGCGACGTTTAAGCCTCCAAATGGAGCAGCTGGCTTGCTGCATCCGAGACTGGATGATATTATAAGAGACGAGGTCAGGAAATTAGATGCTTTCATCACCTTGACACTTAGAACTCGGTTTTGCCTGGTCCAAAAAGTGATTCTCACCAGATGCTGGGGGATGCAGACAATCCGATACAGCTGATCTTTGATGCAGGCTCCTGCGAGAGGTAGCGGGTCCTTTTGATTTCGCCGCCCACCCCCCAGCCCTGTGGCTTCCCCTCCAGCCCTCAGCCCCCATCTGTTAGTTTCAGAGCGAAATCTCAAATTTCAGGTTAATGTCACGGGAGATCAAAAGCTGCGTGGGGCAGGTGGGGTGGAGAGGGGAGCTGGGATGAGGTAGTGATGAGGTAATGGCCTAAAATTCTAGGGAGAGAAGCCCCTCGGGACTCAGCACAGCAGCAGGATGTAGCCAGCCTGCGCCACGGAGGGGGGGCAGCCTTGTATAGGGTCCATTTCCTTGAAAAGAGAGAGCATGATGAACGTGTGTTTTTCCTGTTATTTATTACAAGGCAAGATCTGTTTATTCACAAAGATACAAACTGCACATGGGTGGGCAGCCAGAACAGCCCATTTCTTTAAAACAGCACCACTTCTCCCACAAGTACCGTATTTTTCGCTCTATAAGACACACTTTTTCCCTCCCAAAAAGTAAGGGGAAATGTGTGTGCCTCTTATGGAGCAAATGCAGGCTGCACAGCTACCACAGAAGCCAGAACAGCAAGATGGATCGCTGCTTTCGCTGTGCAGCGATCCCTCTTGCTGTCCTGACTTCGCTTCGCTGGAGAGGCGCTGCGCAGAGAGGGAGAGCTGCACAGCGCCCCTTCAGCGAAGCGGGAGGAGAAATGGAAGGGGCTCCGTTTCTCCTGCCACTGCGCTGAAGGGGTGCTGTGCAGAGTGGCGCTGTGCAGAGAGGGAGAATATTTTTTTTCTTGTTCTCCTCCTCTAAAACTAGGTGCCTCTTATGGTCGGGTGCGTCTTATGGAGCGGAAAATACGGTATGCCCTTGAGAAGCCCTACCACCACCACCACCACCACCACCTAGGCTTCTTAGCATCACAGAACTAGAGAGTTCAAAGAGACCCTGTGGGTCATCTAGTCCAACCCCCTGCAATGCAGGAAACCTGCCCACAGCCGTCCCTGGGTGGGCTTGAACCACCAACCTCCTGTCAGCTGCCAAACCTGGGCTCTTGTGTCCATTCCTGGCTCCATTACAATTGTTTCTTTCTCCGGCCACCATTCAGACAGGTGGGGATGTCCATAGCAGCTCAGTTGGTTAGAGTGCAGTGCTGATAATGCCAAGGTTGCAGGTTCAATCCCTGCTTGGGACAGATGCATAAACCTGCGTTGCAAGGGGTTGGACTAGATAAGGGGTCAGTAAACTTTTTCAGCAGGGGGCCGGTCCACTGTCCCTCAAACCTTGTGGGGGGGCAGGCTATATTTTTTTGGGGGGGAATGAACAAATTCCTATGCCCCACAAATAACCCAGAGATGCATTTTAAATAAAAGCACACATTCTACTCATGTAAAAACACCAGGCAGGCCCCACAAGTAACCCAGAGATGCATTTTAAATAAAAGGACACATTCTACTCATGTAAAAACACCAGGCAGGCCCCACAAATAACCCAGAGATGCATTTTAAATAAAAGCACACATTCTACTCATGTAAAACACCATACAGGCCCCACAAATAACCCAGAGATGCATTTTAAATAAAAGGACACATTCTACTCATGTAAAAACACCAGGCAGGCCCCACAAATAACCCAGAGATGCATTTTATATAAAAGGACACATTCTACTCATGTAAAACACCATACAGGCCCCACAAATAACCCAGAGATGCATTTTAAATAAAAACACACATTCTACTCATGTAAAAACACGCTGACTGTCCACGGGCCATATTTAGAAGGCGATTGGGCCAGATCTGGCCCCCGGGCCTTAGTTTGTCTACCCATAGACTAGATAATGGATGTTTACTGTGGAATTCGTGTTCTTTACGCACCCAAGTTTTTCACACTGTCTGCATGATGGCACAGCACAGTTGTCCAAAATGCCAGCTTGTTTTTTATATGTATACTTAATTTGGATTTTCTCGTATGATGGAAAGCCTGTTACGCAGAAGTAACCTGCTATGCAGCCACTACTGGTAGTGAAAGCTTGTTAGCTCTTTTCTTCTGAGAGGGGAAGGTGGTTTGCCCTATGTGTCAAAGTTTGCTCCTCAAACATTGGTGAAGTTTCAGTTTCAACAACTGCAATCAGAGAAGTTGCTTGCTCAAGATCTCATGTAAGGGTTACCATGGAGACTGTAATCACAGTAAATGCATCAGGGCATTTTTTTTAAATCATACCGAATTTCTGCACAAGATCTCTTTATCAGATAATATAGATAAACGGAATGCAAAACCTCTGCATATATTTTGAAAACGGAATGGAAATGGATACTCCTCTCCTTAAAGAACAACAACCCACAAGGCTTCATTGTGAAACATGGTAACAAGAGACTGGTAATGTTCACTCTTCTGCTCTTGCACACTTCCTGTGTGTGTTGTTGTTCTTGTTTTTTAAGAGCGTGGGCACACAAATACAGAAATACCTGCACGTATGCCCAGAATGGGAAGAGATGGGGGGGAGAGAAGTAGCGGTTGAGGGGACCAGAAAACACAGCATAGGAATATTCCACGGAGGACCACCCACTGTTGAGGATGGGGAGCAGAGGAGTATCTCTGAAAAACCCCTGTAGCTATCAAGACCGGACATTTAAAAGCGCATTCTTCAGCTATACAACACATGACTTAAATCAAGAGATGGGTGGTTGAAATCCTGACAGAGGCCCTACCAGATACTTTTAGCTCTGGATTATGAATCATGGAACCTAAAAATAATTGTTAAGTTCATTGTGATGCATTATTTACTGTGCAAGCCACTTTGAAGAATCTCAGTGAGAACAGGTGAGATAAACTGTTCTTATTTATAAATGTATAGGCCACTTACTGGCACAGTCAGCTCACAAGCAGTTTACAAAGTATAAAAATCTGTTATACAGAAATTGAAATAGAAAACACCCATAATGAAAGTACACAATAAAACAGTCCCATTAAAACATTAAAATATCAACATCCATCATTAAAATATGCTAAAATAACCACATGATGACAACACAGCAATCAAAACCAAACAGGAGACTTGGGTCAAGATCAGGGGAATGCCTGTGTTTACAGGTGTGTGTCTTCAAGAGAGCCAGTGTGGTGTAGTGGTTAAGAGCAGTAGACTCATAATCTGGGGAACCGGGTTCACGTCTCCGCTCCTCCACATGCAGCTGCTGGGTGACCTTGGGCTAGTCAAACTTCTTTGAAGTCTCTCAGCCCCACTCACCTCACAGAGTGTTTGCTGTGGGGGAGGAAGGGAAAGGAGAATGTTAGCTACTTTGAGACTCCTTGTTACCTGCCAAGCTTGGGGAACAGTGCTGGCTAAACTGCAGAGCTGGAACAGCCAACAGGAAGATCTCGTTGAACCTCACGCTCCAAGGCAGATGATTAAACTAGCAGCGACTCCACTGCTGCTAAGGTAGCTAGGTTCTCATGATGTGGCTGTGGTGGCTGCTACTGCAGACCCTCGACGTGTCCCTATTTTCCAGGGACAGTCCCAGATTTGCAGAAGATGTCCCAATTTCTGATTTGATCCTACAATGTCCCAGTGTGGTGTAGTGGTTAAGAGCGGTAGTCTTGCAATCTGGGGAACTGGGTTCGCGTCTCCGCTCCTCCACATGCAGCTGCTGGGTGACCTTGGGCTAGTCACACTTCTCTGAAGTCTCTCAGCCCCACTCACCTCACAGAGTGTTTGTTGTGGGGGAGGAAGGGAAAGGAGAATGTTAGCCGCTTTGAGACTCCTTTGGCTAGTGATAAAGCGGGGTATCAAATCCAAACTCTTCTTCTTCTTCTTCTTCTTCTTCAAGAGTTGGCGGAATGCCAAAGCAGATAGCCAATACTCATATATCTATGAGGTTCATCTGAAATGCTGCTTCTCCTGGCACAAAATAATAACACATCAAAATACACATGTACACAAACCAACCACACCAGGGAGTGAATTAGCCAGATAGAACTAAATACCTTTCCACCAGATTTTTCTCATACCTCGTAACGAATAATAATAATAAATAATAATAATTTTTATTTATACCCCGCCCTTCCCAGCCAGAGCCGGGCTCAGGGTGGCTAACACCAATAAAAATTCAGTAAAAAATAATAAGAAAAAAAGAAAAAGAAAAAAACCAATTTAAAATACATGTTAAAATGCAGTTTAAAATGCAGCCTCATTCAATAGAATGAAGGCTGTGACAGCCAATGAGATCCAGGGTCCAATCTAGAATGTTATCAAGGTAACGTTTTAGGGGAAAGGTGATTTATTTGTACTGGAACCATCTAAATTGAAAATAAAGGTTTAGTCAAAACTGGGTTCTTCTACCAGCAAAGATAGGATAAGACCATTCTCACAGCAGCTGTAAATTAAAGTGTTGAGCTTTTGCACATACATTTCTCACTAGGCTTAACTTTCTTCTTTGTTAATCGACCAGGAAACCACTCCATTACAACTTATGATTATTCCAGAAAAAAACTTCCTACAGCTCATTAGGGTTTTCTCCAGAGTTATCAAGGTGGTGGTCAACTACTCTATTCTGAACTTAAAAATGGAAACCGTAATGCTGGTGGTCAACAAAAGAGGTTTAAAGACTGTCTCAAGGCAAATCTTTTAAAATGTAGTATGAACACCGACAGCTGGGAAACAATGGCCAGCAAGCGCTCCAGTTGGAGAACAGCCTTTATCAAAGGTGTCATGGACTTTGAAGACACTCGAACTCAAAACGCAAGGGAGAAATGTGCTAAGAGGAGGGCACACTTGGTAAATCCACACCGTGATCAACTCCTGCCCCGAAAACAATGTCCCCACTGTGGAAGGATGTGTGGGTCCAGAATTGGCCCACACAGTCACTTATGGACTCATTGTTAAAACCCTGTTTATGGAAGACAATCTTACTCAGCTACAAGTGATCGCCGAAGAAGAAGAAGAAGGTGGTTGTTCCTCCAAAACCACGAGGACTATAAACTCATTGTTATATAAAAGCCCTGATTCCAAGGAAAGAGTTTCAGATGCCAAGTTAAAAGCTGTATTCTGTGCTCCGCTGTGATCAATTGCAGCAAGGTGGATTTCGCTAGGCTCCCTGGAGGGTCTTTTTTGTGCTAAACTCAACCTCCCCTACAAGCACGAAGGCACTTTGCGATTTGGTCTCCCCAGGCCTCCAGAAGTGGAGCAAGCCGATAAGCGGCTGCAGCGACAGCTGCTCTTGGAGCTGTGGATTGAGTTACAAGGGAGCGCAGATTGCTTTTGTCCACTCGGCTCTGAGCCATCCATCACCAGCTCTGACAGCGCTTAGAACTGCAGGAACACACCGGCCACAGCGGCTCTCAGCACTGGGCTATCGGCGACATTACATCTCAAGATACAGGATTACAGCAGAGAGGCGCTTATACCCCCTAAATTGAAAGAGGGTGCAGGAGATCTGATGCACATCTCGTGTCAAAGACTTCAAAGGCACAGGGCAGCCAGGGAGGAGGGACGCTGCCCAACACCTCCTTACACTCCCTAACGCACATGAGCACAGCGGAAGCAGGTTACAAATCTTCCAAGCTGCAAATCTTTTAATGCCTTTTACATTAACATGGAATTCCTCCATCTTCCTTTAAAGAGGAAAGTGATGCATCATATTTAATGGGTTTAGAAGGGATTTTGCATCTAGGGCAACCCACCTGCTGAATAAATTCGAGAGCTGTCCTGGAAGCTGTCGGCTGAGTGCCCTTTAGTCTTCTTGCTACGGTGGTGAGCTTTTGTTTGCAGAAATTCAGGTACACAGGCATGAATGCCTCTGAGCATGTACAGAATTTATTCCCAACCCCAACAAAAAGTACTGGTATTTTTTTCCCCCATGAAGGGAATGTTTTCTCACATGCTTTTGAATTATTATTATTATTATTATTATTATTATTATTATTATTTTAAAAAATTGTTCTTCCACATTTATGACAAATATAACATATAATACCCACAAAAGAAAAGACATTACAATACTAAAAGAAAATAAAAAGAAAAATATAAACACTTATTACTTCTAGAACCCATTTTATCTTTCACTGTTATCTGACTTCGTCAAATCCCCCCTAACTGAATTTCATTGTATCACCTTGTAACAGTTTTCCAAAATCCTCTTTCTAATAAAATTAACTCCTTCAATTTACTATCTTCTTCTCTTTTCTTATTCGTCTAAATCC